CATTGTTGTACATATTAAATAACTGTCTAATAATTATTGTCTCGCAAATTAAACAAGCATGGCATGCAAAGCTTCCTGCGACAAAAAAACATTATTCATTGGCTTTTGCTCAAATCGCTGAACGAGCTTGTCTCTCCGTTGCTTTTCTTGATTGCCTAGCTCTCGAGAGAAAGAAACCGTCGATTTCGGTTGAGTATCTTATGTCATCGTAAATTTGAACGGGTGTGGTGCAGTAGGAACGAAATTGCCGCGTCGCGGCGAGAGAGACGCCGCGCGCGGAGGAATGTAGCAGAATGCAGTGAAGAAATAAGGAACAAAAGAACTAACAGTAGAATCGTGCCATAAGTAATAATCGCATAGCGATTGAGCTGTAAGAACTGTTATAACGAGGCAAGTGGTCCGCGACAGCCGCTTGCGGCAGATCGATTACCCAAAACCGTTCCTACTACCCGTCCCCCCCATTCTCTCCACGGTCTGTTACTAGCTGCAGGCAACTTAACAGTTATATGGTGATAAACGCTGCACAGGGTGATGTTTGCAGAACTCGAAATGATTTCTAGAAGTAATCATATCTGAAGGGATTCAATGTTCAATTAATCGTGCGCTTAAGATGGTAGAGCTTCGTCTGATGTCTGAAAAATTCACAGTATATCCTTCAGCGCTCAAATAGTGCCCAAGACTATTCCTTCTAGGCTATGGACCGAATAGTTACCAGGGTAATTCTCCATAGGTACCTTTGTACGTCTAAGGTCCAGCGTTAATTCAAAATGGTCGGTTGAGACTTAAGCAGGCAAATAGTGGTTAGCTTCAGGCACATGCACTTCAGACTTAATCTATTTCTCTGAGAATCTGAGAACTAGTGATTAGATATTGCTCGACTGAACTGAAATTTAGGGCTGAGACTGAAATAAGAGAAGCCATGAGTAAATAATTTTTGCTGATGATTGTTCTCAAAAGTACTGGAAACATCCCCATTTTTCCAATCATATAGGACAAATTATCTATAAGATCACTAACGAAGAACCGCTTTTCCGAATACAACTGAGTAAAAGGGTGAATGAAAAATGAAAAAACTCGTCAGCTATAGTTTGAAAATAGTGTAACTATAAGAAGAACAAAAGGCTAATCATACGGGTAACTTATGGTTCTTCTTTGCAACACAAACAACAGTTTTTTGGTCAATCATTCGAATTGTGATTTTATAAAACAAAATAAAAGTACTCCCGAGTCTCTCAGCAAACATAAATGAAATGATATGCACGAGAATCAAAAATAAACTCATAAACGTGAATGTAGGTGAAAAGCAGTATAAACAGCACGCAAAAATAACTTTGACAGGATTGAAGGCACAGTTTACAATAATTTTTGGTAATCCAGATAATGACGAAAAATAGAAGCTCAGATGGGAAATAGGGCGATGGAGGCAAAAACGTGAGGGAAGTGGTGTTTCCAAAGTGAAAAAAAACGCCTTGGAAAAATCCTCAAAAGGGGCTGGTCGAAAGTTAGACCAGAAAAATGAAGAAGAATGGGGCGCTTAGACGAGCTATACAATGCGTTGCATTGCGTACGTGTGGATCCTAGTGCGAATAGCTGAATACAGTAAGCGAAAATGACCTTTAAGTTCATTAACCCATAGGCGTAAGTTAAGAAAAACACTAATAACAGTAAAAATAACTCACCTTTTTAAGCATCTTGAGGTAGAAAATTAAAGTGAGGATCGCAGCAGCAAAAAAATAACAGAGACTGACAGCAAAGGAGACGGGGCATACCGGGGATTCCGTTATGCCCTAGATCTTGAGTTTTGGGAACCGACAGCGTCTTTCCGGTTACCCTCGGAGGCCACTGGGTACTCCTAGAGGGAGAACTCAGAAACCAATTTTATCGTGAACTGTGCCACTAAGCTAGGGGAGGGGGCAAAAAAACATGAAGAATTCTCGAAAACTACGCACACGTAGGAGAGAAATTTGGGTTGCAATAAGTAAGTAGGATTATGGTCGGTGCAGATGTGGTGCATTACGAGGACGCTTCATTGTGCTCTGCTTCTCTGACACTAAGGGTCACAGTGTAACTAGAGAGGGGACGCTGTTCGACGAATAGTTTTGATTGCTGCAGAAAAACGATTCTGATAAATGGGTGAGGAATTTCTTTTAAAGGTGAGGAAGGGCATCAGATTCGCTGCTCCCAGACTTCAACGACGCAACCAGCGAGCGCGCTCGGACGCGCGCTTGTCGGTTGCGGTTGAAAGCAGCAGTTCAGTTCAACTTAATGGTTGGATGAGTATACGACTATAAAAGTTGCATGGAATTGAGACGAGCTGCTCAAATGTGTGTACCATTGCGAACAGCTGGCTACAGTAAGGTGTCTTTGCGCAGTATGTGGGCTTGGAAACGAACGGTACAAAGTGTACAGGTTTTTCAACGCCGTGAGAATCCCCGTCTTGGGTGTGTACGATGGCGAAGCCGTTTTGGGAACCTTACTACGCCTCATCTAGTCAGTTTTTCAATGTCCCTTGTGCTATCATTGAGAACGAACGCAGCCTCTAGGCCCGTGGGTCTCATTTCTTGCTTCCCGATTAGACAGTTTTCGCAAAAAGTTGACAAACGTCGCGCGCAACTCGTCCGCCAAATTCTTGGGGTGTAGATTTAGCTGCGAGCGGCTGACTTCTATCATCGTAATCATTTGATTGCACCGCTCCACAAAGGATGCTTTACCGCGCTATCTTCTCGTAGAAAATACTAAGAACTAGAGAAGCAAGGCTACAATGGGCTGGAATCTGGATCTATTTTCTGCAGTAAATGTTTCATGAAATAAAAGCGTTAGAGAAATCAGTGATAGAACATGATTACCTTCTCATCCTTCGAACACCTCCACTAGGCTGCGGACAGACTTTGAGCGGAGTCGGAAAGCTGGCGATTTCGCGGAGAAAAACAATACGTTCCTCCCGCTCTCCCTTAGGGGAAGATTTAAGATGGTACTAGTAGGGCAATGTGTGAAGGTAGACTCTTTCACCCGGTGGTGAACTCTTAGGTCATATTGTTCCACCTTCTCCAGATGGGCGCTATGTCTGAGCGCTTTGTACTCCATCAGGAGTCAGAGAAGCTATTTTGTATGATCCGTGAAAGCTCCTTTCTTCAATCCAGGACCCATCTTAAATTAAGCGGTCTCCTGTGATTGAGGCCTGCCTCTAATGATCTGTTTCAAGATCTCAGCAAATATTTTCGCTATGGAAAAAGATTTTAATTGGGTATTGCGTACCGATGAGTCCCTGTCATGTCCTGAAGCGGTAATTTCATCGCTCTAATTCAAAAAGAAGTTGGGTTGTGGGGTATGATATAAAAGTCTACCGTTCCTTCTACTTGATCTGTAATATGACGATTTGTGATCAAAAGGAGTGTTCGATCATTATGTTGATGGTGGATTCGTTGCTCAAACTGATTGCCTATTCATTTGTTTCATTGTGGATGAAATGATGGCGTATTTTTCCCATTATAATTCTCTGTCTGGGTAAGCGCCATGATATTCCTCTTTTTCCAGACATCCAAAAATGTGACCACCTTCTTCAATGCTGGCGAAGCTCAACTCACCATCAAAACAGCGGAATCTTCTCACAGCGGTGTGTACAATATTACAGCCACCAACGCTGATGGTGCCAGTACGGCAAACATAACGCTTATTGTGAAATGTACGTTTCTTTCTAAGACATAAATGGAGATAATTCATTGACTTCAAGTAAAACTTATATATATATATATTGAAGTTTTGACGTTCTTTATGCTCTTGGTATTGTGCTGAATGAACAAAGTCATAAATTATTGCGCTTTTTAGCCCCTCCGTCTGCACCTGAAGGTCCCATCGAAGCGTTGATCGTTGGCAACTCATGTAAACTGTCATGGAAACCTCCTAAAGAAGATGGTCGTTCTCCTATCCTTGGCTATTACATCGAAAAATATGACGATAAGACCAAAAAATGGACGTTTGGAGCTCGGTCGAAGAATACCACTTGTACCATAGGTGAGGTATAATATCTCTCAATGTAGGCTTTTTTATGGTCTTTATAACTTTTTTCGCGGATGGTTTTTTTTTCTCACTTGAATATTAGTTTTATCTTCAAGTTGCCCCATCCTTCAAATAAATATCGTTTTTCATTGAAAGTGGTATTGGTGGGTGACGAAATTATCAGTAGCAGTGAAAGTTGTCACTATCGCTTTGCAAAAAAGGACTTAATCCAACAGTCATCTTCGAATCTTTCCCATTTGGCGATGACCCTCAAAGAGAGCTCGCTTTCACTCAAATTTGGGAGCGTTAGCTCAATCGATTACTAAGGGTTTCCAGGAAAGGGTGAATTCAAAGAGTAAATCATACATGAGAGGTTTATTTGTATGATTTCAGACAACATTGGTGATGCCTCTTCACATCGTTTCCGAGTGGCGGCCGAGAATGCTGCCGGAACGGGGCTTTTCACTGAGTCTGAACCTGTTAGCCTTGATGTTCTTCCGAAAATCACTCGAGACACTTCGAAATCCCAATTTGTCTTCCCTGAGGGAAAAGATGCAGTAATCACTCTGTCGTTCTCAGGTAAGCAGCTATGAGGCCAAAGTTTCATTTTTTCCACCGAACGGGCAAATGTCAAAGGAAATTAACTGCAGGACGTTAGTTCGCGATGCCCTCAATGAATTAAACCACAATGAGTGAAAACTTTTAGGTCAACCAGTTCCGAGTGTTGAATGGACTGATAGTGCTGGCAATTTAATCAAGGCTTCGAAGAAGATTGAGGTTGATTTTCTGAGCTCTTTCATTCTTTTAACATACCACGACGACACAGTATTGTAATTTAGATTGACAACACCGATTCAAATACTCGACTAACAATAAAAGGTGTAAGTTCCTCCGATGCAGGCCAGTATAGGTTGAAAGTCAAGAATCGCGTCGGCGAAGATACCTTACCGATAACTGTCCAGGCATGACTATTGAGTTGTTTTGCTAGTTCTGTTTCGCAGGTTATCTAGTTGTGAAATTGTTCCAGGTTCAAGAACGTCTCGATTCTCCTGGAAGACCGAGTGTTCAGCAGAAAAGCGCTGATTCGGTCGAGCTGGTTTGGAAAGAACCCAAAAGAAACGGTGGCTCACCGATTCAACATTATACAGTGGAAATGTGCACTGTGAGTTGTCTCCGTTTGTCAACTTTTCCGATTTCTTTGAAGGTTTTCCAACTTGTTCAAATGCCTTTCAACCATTAAGGCAGCAACTAAAAAGTGGAAAAAGGTGGAAGCACCTCGCCAATCCACAACTACACTTTTCAACCTCTTGCCTGGAGAAATCTATATATTCCGCGTAAAAGCGACAACAAAACTGGCAGAATCAGATTTCTCGGAAGAATCTGAACCCTTCAGCTTTAAAGTGAGCTTTTTTTTCACTCTGCCTGCCAGGCTTCCTCAGTTTGCTCTTCCCATGGTGTGGTTTATCTACTTTTCGCCATGACGCTTCTCGAACTTCGTGACACGATTGAATGCTTAATACTTTTTGGTGCGAGTCTTAAAAATAAGATTATTTTTTAGGAGCTAGTACGTGAGGCAGACAAAGTCAAACAAAAGATTGACGATGAAATTGTGACGGAACCTATCGACTACGAGAAAGTCGACTCTACGATTGATCCACTGCAACAGAAGGAAATCGATGTCCACCGATTGTCTAATGATTTGCTTGATAAGGTATGAATCATGTCTTCTATCACTCTTTGTTGATACTGAAATAAGGATTTTCCAGTATATCATATGCGAGGAGCTTGGACAAGGTGCTTACGGCACTGTATATCGTGCCGTAGAAAGGGCTACCGGAAAGACCTTCGCAGCAAAAATGGTTCAGGTATTACATACTTTTTTGACTTTGACATAGGTTGATATCACAACATAATCCGTTTGGGAGTCCGGTAAACAGTTTTAAAGCATATGTGGATATAGGTACGTCCTGGAGTAAGGAAAGAAGATGTCCTACACGAGATCTCCATCATGAATCAATTACATCATGACAAATTACTCAATCTGCATGAAGCCTTCGATCTCGGTCATGAGATGTGTCTAATTGAGGAATTGTGAGTAACATGTTTCCAGGGAAGCGTTATTCTCTCAATCACATGCTCAATTATAGCGTATCCGGTGGAGAACTGCTTGACAAAATCATCGAAAACGATACGCTGATGAGTGAAGAAGAAGCAAAAGACTATATGTATCAAATTCTTCAAGGTCTACAACATATGCACAATAACCAAATTGTGCACCTTGATCTGAAGGTGAAGAAGCGGTCCATTCTTGTTTTTCTGTGTATTATTGCCATACCTCAATGTTTGATTTCAGCCCGAAAACATATTGCTCAAATCGAAGAATGCGAGCGATTTGAAAATTGTTGACTTCGGACTATCTCGGAAGCTCGACCCCAAAAAAACTGTCAAACTTCTTTTTGGAACACCAGAGTTTTGTGCTCCCGAAGTTGTCAATTACGAACCAGTCAGTTTCAGCACTGATATGTGGAGCGTTGGAGTGATTGCCTATGTGCTGTAAGTACTTTTCAATGGGATGAAATTGCTGGGTATTCTGAGAATATTTCCTGAAGTGCATTGTGTTCAGTTTATCTGGATTATCACCTTTCCTCGGAGAAACCGATGAGGAAACGCTAGCCAATGTATCTGCAGCTGACTGGGACTTCGATGACCCCGTGTTTGACGATGTGTCTGATGCCGCTAAAGTAAGCGACAGCCACCTCTCATTTTCCCATGCGCTTTTATTCGTTTTGATCGAGGGTTTGTAGGATTTCATTTGTCGCCTAATGTGTAAGGATAAACGTCGACGCATGACAGTCAAACAAGCTCTTCAACACCCATGGATTGCTGTGAGTATTTTACATTATTGTTTCTCTTCTTTATCAATGAATTCTTTGGGTAGTAGTAGCTGGAATACCTCAAAGTAAAGCATCATGCTCCAGGTGGCAATGTAGAGCTAATAATCCGTGCGTATATCATGAAGCTTTCCGAAACAGATTTCGTCGCAGCCAAACTTAAAAAGCGCTGCGCTTGCAATTTGCTGATTTATGTGGTAGTGCGCACTACAGTACAGGTTCAAAATCTATCAACTGTGTCCTTTTCTGTCTTTTGTTGGTGAGAAGCAGTACAAGCACTTCGGCGGAACCTTTTATGGAAGTGTATCCAGCTGCATACTACTGCATACATTTGTCTTATTTGTCATATCTCAATGTTTATTGCATTTTTTGAGCAAAATTTTCATTTTCAGAAAACGCCGAAGGCACCGAAAGTTCGCGGTCAATTAACTCCACAGCAGAAGAAGAAATTCATGGCTCTAAAGAGATGGTCCGACGATCTTCTGCCAATCGGTCGTTTGGCTAATCGCGGTGCCATCTTCAGGCAGTACTCTATGGATGGAGTGTTCGAAAGGGATATTAGCTTCGGTTCGTCTCTTGTGCAATTTGATATAGAGAATATGATATAGAGTAGTAGCCGATGTTGTCTGTTCTCGTATTTTGTACGGTTTCAGATGAAGACTACCCTCCTCACGTGAAAAAACAACTCGAGGACATCGTGGCTTATGTGGGCGACCTGATTGCAGTGCTCTCTTGCGAGATGGACGGTTCTCCGCTTCCACGAATAACGTGGTTCAAAGACGAGAAAGAATTGACTGTACCATCAATTAAGTACGATTCACAATTTGAAGATGGTTTGCTGGAGTTGACAGTCAAGAACATCGAACTTCCTGATGCTGGAGTGTATCGTTGTCGTGCTACAAATGAGCTTGGCTCAGTCTACACTGAAGCCAAGTTGGTCGTTGGAGTCAGAGAAACAAAAACATCTCCAGCTGAATTGAAGAGGAGGACTGAAAAGGTTTGCTTTTTCATATCACAAACCATCACCATACTTAACTCCTGCTAGCAAGGTAGAGAGATATTTGGTGGTTTGGTGAGAGGAGTACGAATAATCGAAACAGTAAAGTTCTGCTCCACTCAGAATTCAGTGACGTATTGATACTCCTAATTTACTAAAACCAATAAAAGCCTACTTCAATAACGTGGCTTTTTTTCAGGTGACCGAAGAAGAACCTAAGCCAGCAGATTCAAAACCATCCTTCGATCCTGGCTTGGTCGACAAATCCGTTGCGTTAGGTGATAGGGTAACCCTCTCTGTGACAAGCATTGCTGCTGCTGAAGTGGAATGGTTCCACAATGAAAAACCTATAAAGGAGACGGATTCACGATATGTGCTGAAACACGACAAAAATCGACATGAGCTCCAAATCGTCAGTGCCAATTCAAGCGATGAAGGTAGCTTTTTTCTACTTAAAATTTGTTCAATGATGTTCAGGACGTGGAAACAAGGCTAGTATTTAACTGCGTCATCTGAAAAAATAGCAATTCCAGGTAAGTGGAAAGCGGTTGGTCGGAACAAATTGGGAGAATGTGAAAGTTCATGCAATGTGGTGGTAAAAGTTCCGGACGGCTTCATGGCTCCTACATTTGAAAAGGCTCTAGAAGATGTGAGCTGCGATGAAATGGAATTACTAATGCTGCCCGTCAGAATCTCGGCCAATCCGCCTCCTGAAATTACATGGTAAACTGAACACTCCTAGCCCTAGGTGCCCTTGGTGAAATGATGTCGATCACTGATTGTAGTGTTTTGTAGGTACTGTGACGACAGAGAGCTTCAACATTCGTTGAATCACCGACTGCAATTTGACGATGATACAAAAGAATACTCCCTTACTATTGTGAAAGCGTACACAGAGGATAGTGGAGAGTACAAGTGAGTTATGCTGCTCGGAACTTTTTCGGGTCCCTTTCTATAGAATCTTTTACCTTTTTTCACTTCGAGCTTGAATAGCATTTGAAATTTCTATTACTTGTGAAACTGGTAACAAGATTTTTAGCTGGTGTGGCTGCGTTATCGCTTTTCTCATAGCGTAAAAAGACGAAAATACTATAGTAAACTAAATTATCACTCTTAGTTGAAGGAACCGCTGCCAAAGCTTTCTATGGAAGTATACCATGATTTATAGGAAAACTAAATAGGAATGTTATTCTTTTCTTACTTCGAATGCATTCTCGAACTTACAGATGTGTTGCGAGAAATTTGATCGGTAAGGCAGAAAGCGTGTGCCGCGTTCGCATTGTGGAGCCGGAAGAGAAACGAAGCAAGAAAATCGACGATTCAAAAGCTCCTAAATTCAGCATGCATTTGATAAATCCACGTGAAGTTGGTGACCTTTCACGGATTCTTTTTGTTCTTTTCTGTTTCTTTTCTAACTTATTTTATTTACTGTATACGTATTGTCGTACTCCAGGTATCAGAAGGATCTGAATTGATTCTTGCATGTGTCGTCACTGGTACTCCTCATCCGAAGATTACTTGGTTGAAGGATGGTAAACGGTAATTCTTTTAAGCTCATTGTTCTTCTGTTTATATGGGTACAGATCCATCATTTCATTTGGAATTAGGCCTTTATTGTGACACGATCTCCACTTGTTCTGGCTGACTGCTCGTTTAATGCCTGGTTTAGAATGATATAATGATATCCACAAGTGAACTGACCAGTGATATCTCAGATTTCTTTTTTTTTGTTCATCCCTAACGGAAATGTAGGCTTCCCAGAATTTTCTCGAAATTCATTCATCTTAACCCAGTTTGTGATTGGTTGCGTGAGCAGATCAAATATCCACCTCCTAGGCATTTCCATCGCGATACACTATTTTGATTTTCATGCAGGTTATTGATGACCGAAAAGGAGGCAACATACGATAACGGTGTCTGCACACTCACGATAGCTTCCACGATTCTAACGGACAGTGGCAACTATATTTGTGAAGCAGAAAATATCCACGGCAAAGCACAATCAGAAACTGTCGTAACCGTAGCTCGTAAGTTCCATGATCGTTAATGAGTACTTTGCCGTCTAAAATATTTTTACCTCATTTTCCTTTATAGCCTCGATAGAGAAGGACCAATCGGCTCCCAAGTTTATCGAGCTTTTAATGGATCAAACTGTGCAAGAAACTGATGAAATCCTTCTTGAATGCTGTTTCAAGGGCAAACCAACGCCTGCCATAAATTGGTATGGTTCAATGCTTGTGTTTATTTCGCACTCTTTGCTTGTTCTTCAAAGAAGTCTTTCAGGTACAAAGACGGGCAAAAGTTGGTTGTGGAAAACCGTATGCTGCAGTACTCTGATCGTAAAGGAGTAGCAAGACTTAATATCATGAACAGTGTCCCTGGAGACTCCGGTGAATACTCATGTGAGGCCGTCAATGCCTTAGGCAAGGACATGACGGAATGTCGTGTCAAAGTAACGGGTTAGTAATTTTCGTTGATGCCAAAGTAGGAAATGCCGTAAGTAGTTTTGCGAATTCGTCTTGATGACAAAACTAGAGATTAGATCTTGAGTTTGCCTGCTGGAAATCTATTTTTCAGGCGTGATTGATGGAGCCATAGATCGCAGCCCTAGCCGCTCTTCTACTCGATCAGTTGCGTATTCTAGCGATGACACCCGACCTCCGCTTATAACTCGACCACTTGTTGACACCACAGTCCAGGCTGGTGAGTACTTTTCTGAGTTTCGCTTAACCTTACTCGGCGCACTATTGGTATAACGGTTATATCCAGGAAATCGAGAATTGCTTGAGCTAGAAGTGGACGGTGTTCCGACGCCTGCGATAGAGTGGTACCATGACGGAAAGCTAGTGGCTGAAAATCGAACTCTTCGAACAACATTCGATGGAAAAGTGGCGATTCTCAAGATATACGAAGCCCAAGCCGAACACCAGGGACAGTATACCTGCAAGGTGTGCCTTGATTCAACTTGTTTCGATGAATCGTATTTCACATCACGCCCTTCTTCTTTCAGGTTTCCAACAAACTTGGAGTCGTAGAGTCACGAGCTATGCTAGTTGTTGAGCCGAAAACCACAAATGAAGTCACTAACGTCCCTGTTTTCATTAAGAGGATCCAAAACGTGACAGTTAAAGAGGTAATTTAGTGTTCGAACCATCTCAAGATACTCTCCAATATTTTCTTCCGTTAAGCTCGGCAGTACCGTCTCGCTCAGTTGTCAAGCTCGTGGAGATCAACCTCTGGAGATAAGATGGCTGTACAATGGTCATCTGATTGACCTCGAGCCACACTACCGTATCCGATCTTTCGATGACGGTATCTCTACTCTTGAGATTCAAGGAATCACCGAAGATATCTGCGGAACATACACTGTAACGGCATCAAACCCACACGGTGAAGCTCATTCTTCTGCAACGGTGCTATTGGATCAGATTACTGACAAGGTATTTCAAGTGTTTTCCAATAAGATTCATGAGTTGCCCACCTAATTGTTTGGTCCTCTCTGTTTCACTTCCATGAATAACAGTTTCTAATTTAGACTGCTGAGCCATCGCCACCAACCTTCATCATTGCACCTAAATCCAAAGTTGTTGCCGAAGAACAATCGTCTCTAACAATTGTTTGCGATATTACTGGTTCATCTTCGATGCAAGTCTCCTGGCTTAAAAATGGTCGTCCAATCAGTGCTACTGAGAGAATACGCATGGAGCGTGACGGTTTAACATCCAGACTTGTAATAACAAGCCTTACTACTGAAGACGAGGGGAAGTATACAATTATTGCCAAAGACGAATTCGGAGAAGTTACAGCTGACAGCGAAGTAGTAATTACTCCGGGTCGTGAGGTTGCTCCAACTGTTGTCAAGATTGTCAAGGGACCACCTGACGTCATCAAAGGCGAACCAATTGTGGAAAACTGCACAAAGGATTCTGTTTCATTGAGTTGGGAACCGCCGGAAGACACTCATGGATCCCGCATCGAACATTACAAAGTGGAGCAGCGCTCTCCCGACCAACAGACCTGGACTGTAGTGGCGATGGTAACCCGACCAAGGTGTACTATCAAAGATCTTCCATCCAATACAGAGTATCTTTTCCGTATTGCTGCAAGCAATGCTGAAGGATACGGTGAGAGTTGCACACCCGTAAAGATAAAAACCCTCCCGGCCGGAACGAAGCCGCACTTCATCGAGTTACCAGCTTCATCGTTTTCTGTGATAGAAGATGGAGAGTTTTCAATTCTGACGAAATTCAGCGGCTCACCTACTTTATCAGTAAAGTGGTACAAAAACGGAAAAGAAATCGCGGGCCCAGACGCTAATATCATCATTGATAATGACTCGTCGAAGCTAACCATAGCGCATGCTCGTAGCGGTGTCGATGATGCTACTTACACATGCCAAATCGAAAACGAAATGGGGCAAGCTTCGACAAACGTAGCAGTAAGCGTTGTTTCTACCAAGGACGAGGTTCAGGATGTGGATACCCGCAGCGACCGAAGTGACAAAGTCAGCCCCGGCGTTCCCTCTGTCGCCAAGCCGTTAAGCAACGAGACCGTGCAGTCAGGGCAACAGTTCATTTTGAGCTGTAGGTTTGCGGGCAAGGATGGCATTGCGAAGTGGTACCACAATGACGAAAAAGTATCGTCTACGGGTCGCTATGAGCTGTTTAGTTCTGCGAACGGTATACAGAAGCTAGTTTGCCATAACAGCTGCCTGACTGATGCTGGACTGTACCGCTGTGTATTGACGAGCGAAAAAGGAATGGCACAAACTGAGTGTGAAGTATTCGTTAAAGTTGCAGAAGACCAAGCACCTCCGTTGTTCGAGAAGGAACTGGAAGATATCACAACACTTACCGGCAAAAAGCTGGTATTAAGCTGCCGTGCCACAGGTCATCCCGAACCTGATTTGGTCTGGACTAAAGACGGAGAGCGAGTAGCGACTAGCAGACGAGTGCGACTCGAATTCGACGATAAAGGACTATCTGAGTTGCACATACACGACTGTACTGCACAAGATGCAGGAATTTATCTATGTACTGCAACAAATATTTCTGGAGTGCAGTCCACGCAGTGCACGCTAACGGTTGCTGAGGTGTCCGGCAAGGATGCTCACTTGGTTATTGCTGAAGAAGAAAAAATCGTAAAGCCTCGCTTTATTAGAGCCCCACCTTCAATCTTGGAGGCTCAAGAAGGAGGACAGTTCAAGCTTATTGCGAAGGTGGGCTATATCTATATTTCTTTCATTTAACATACGGATGCATATATTAACCAAGTCGGGTCATTCTTATTCGTTTCTCTGTCCTCTTTGTGTTTTTTTTTGCGTGGGCGGGGGCTCCACGTCTGTGGATTGCTCATTAACAATCAAGCTTCGGCTGCAAGCTATCCGAAACTCCACGTGACTCAATCTTTGATGTCTGTCTAAACCGTCCTTTTGTGTTCAGGCTGTCGGTGAACCAAAGCCAACATTGACATGGAAGAAAGATGGCAGAGAAGTGGTGCGTACGAACCGGCCCTACAGAACATATCTGACCGGTGACGGCGAAAGTCACCTAGTTGTGGAATGTGTCGTTTCAAAGACAAGCGGCATTTTCAGTTGCATAGCCCATAACATTCATGGAGAGGCTGAAACGGAAACCCAAGTTTTTGTCCGTGAGTACAAGACTAGTTACAAGTTTTGGGCCTGTTTGAAAAATTGAATACCTTCTTTATTTTCAGATCGTGGTAAGACTTCGCGTCCTGCTGCCGAAAAACCGGCCTTCTCAGAGCATCTTAAAGATACTGGAGTTGTTGCTGGACATCCTGTAACACTGGGATGTAAGGTATGTTGCATGACATCCTTCAAAAACTACCTGCGCCTCATACTCATTGAACCAAAAGTTAAAAAAATGCATGAAAGTCAGCCCTTCACCAGAAAAGCGGTTCAAAAAAATTTCAATAATGCTCACAAAAATTCACTCGGGGATTTGGCTTGGCAGTGATCCTGGGACGGTTGAAGTGCAGTGGGCGCAGAACCTCACAGACATGTTTCATTACTCTTATTTGAGTAGTTTCATTGCACAAAATGACCTTCTAGAATACATAAATCTTAAACCCGTCACATACGACGCATTATAAAGGCACGTACGACACGGGTGATTTAAGTGGGGTGGGCGTCCAACAAGATGTGGTGGGTCAACGCCTTCTAGCAGCTGGGTTTCTGTATAGGCCGAGTTTCTGCCTCAAATATACGGGTTCTTGGAGGCCTCATGGAGTTAGGGAGCTCACTTCTTGTACATACTGTTCTAGCGAGGATCCTATTCTGGAGCACAGAATAACTTGAGAGGTAGATAGGGACCGTCGTTGCGTTTTAGTCAGTTTACACATTTAACTTAACTATATGCCACCTAATTTTCCAGCTATTCTCCTCAGTATACGCCCCACTTACTCGATTGAACAATTCAACATAGTTAGAGTTCAGGTACACGGCGTTCCTGAACCTGAGCTGAAATGGTATTACATTGACGATGCCGGCAACATCACCTGCTTAACGGATGATGAACATGGTTGGATCGAATGCAGAGGAGGAGAGGTATTTGTATCGTTCTTTTTCCCCACTCTATTTGCGAATGCTTTATTCGGTTTCCTCTATACGGAAGTTTTTTGTAGGTGGCAGAACTCAAAGCTGATTGCGTGCTGAGGAGTCAACAGGGCACGTACAAGTGTGTTGCAAGCAATGAGCACGGTCAAGCCAGTTCAATGTGCTATCTTCTCATTGGAGGTGATTGGAGCTTATCTCAAAACAAATTTTAAATAACATTAAAAATTTGGAAGGATGTTTCATGAATGGGATGAGATTCTAAACTTCCTAAATGTATTGTGTGATTATAACAGACCTGAAAGACGAGCGTGCCGGACCACCGCGTTTTCTTCGATGTCTTCGGGATATTTGGACTCCTCTCGGAGAAGAGGTTGCGTTCGAAGTTGAGGTGGCAGGCTATCCTGCACCAGATTTAACGTGGTACCACCAAGATAAGAAGATTGTTGAAGGAAAAACGGTCAAGGTTAGAGTAAATGCAAAGTTTCCTTCTACCGTTGAAGATCGTTTTTTGGATTACCCTTATTAGTCTTACTTAAATATATCATTCACTATTTGGACGTAAATACGGCCTTTCAGATCACCTATCTATCGGAGTCAGTCTGCGAATTGCGAGTGTCACAAGTATCCTTGAGGGATCTTGGGAATTATGCCGTGGAAGCATCAAATGTTCATGGCGTAGTGCGTACCGTTTCATCGTTGAACGTTGGTGAGCCTCGCCATGCTGAACCGCCGCAGTTCCAGCAAGTTGATGCGCCTGGAATTGCAGTGAAGCCGAAAGTCGCTTTTCGTGAAGAAGTAAGTCTTTTTTATGTGAAGAATCGTGTTCGCTCATTTCTCCTCGTCTAGGTGAAGAGGTCCGCTTCAACTGTTCGTAAAGAATTGCGAAGGAAGGGCGCTGCACCTGTTTTCATAAAAGGTTTGGAAGATATGGAGTTAGAAGCGGGCGCGTCAGCTGCAGTTGCTGGAAAACTGAAAGGAAGTAGGTTACTCATGATTAATGTGATTAGTTGGGAAATTGTGCGAACTCATTGTTAATGTGTTAAGAGCACCGTCATCGGCATAGTGATCAGAAAGGTGCCAAGTCGGGGCGCATGGATGCACGTGGTCTTGCTGCCAGCATAGTGGCTGGATTGAAAATCGACGATGAGTCACGAAGGCAAAGTACCGATGAACAGAATAAAGGCAATTTGGGTGGGTCAATGTGGTCGATTTGTAAATTGACAACAGTTCTTGGGAATTCTCACGCTAGGCTTGAGCCGTACCGGTTCGAAAGAAGCCACATTTCAAGCGTCACAGTTAGTAACTCTGAAAAGGGGATTCTGATTGACCTGCTTCAACTAACATATTGTGTCCTTGATATCATATGGAAAAATCATTTTGGAGCTATGTGACGAGATGGCAGGTAATCCTTTCGTCACAGTTCTTCAAAATGTAGGCAGTAGGCAAGTACTACTACTAGGAAACAGTATTGTTCATAAGCGATCAGTCATCTTCCTTCTCAACTTCTTTGTCACCTGCCTGTAGAACTTTGTCATCTGAAATGTACTCTGTTCCCTTGTTCAGCCATGGAAGAGATTCGCAACACAATTCAAGCCAGAAATCAGCACATGTGCAGACCGAAGTTTATAGTGAAACCAAGACCAAAAAAGGTAATCTCATCCGATTTTTCTACGACATCAAATTCTTCGGAGGTTGTTTTCAGGTGCTGGAAGAATTCAAATCTCTTCGCTTAAAGACAGCTATTTCTGCCAATCCGACACCTGTTGTTCATTGGGATCGTGAAGGTGTTATGCTGGAAACTGGCAACAAATACTCTATTTATAATGATGGAGACTTCTATTACCTAGAGGTTGGTATTACTCTTCTTTTCATCCATTATCTTGAATATCTGCTCCTTCTGAGCAAAGTGCTTCGCTCTTGCGATTATTTTTTTATCCAATCTCTTATGTATTTTCTTATAAGTACTGGAACTCTCTTTCAAATACAATTCCAGTTCTTCATTTTCCATCCTTCACTACATGTGAGATAATCGCTATTCTTAGGTTCATCAAGTCTCTATATTCGATCAGGGATTTTACAACTGCACTGCTACCAATAGTGAAGGAATCACAACCTGCTCTTCAGAAGTAAGTGTACATTTGACTGATTACGCGTTGCTCGTTATCTTGGTATACTCTGTTCAAGGTGGAGGTGGTGAAAGCCGCTGAGGATTCGTCTGTACAGCAGGAAAAACGCAAGCCGAAGAAGGAGATGAAAGCACCGGATTTCATCGAAGTACTGCCAGGGAAACTAACAGTAAGTTTTGATTATTTCAACCTTTTTCCACTTTCCACTCTTTTTCTGAAGTGAACTGGAGCACATTCTTATTAAGGCCACCGCCTGTGAGCCGCTGTCAATCGAGTGCTCCCTTTCGGGATATCCAGCTCCGGCTATACGGTGGTTGCGCAATGGCAATCCACTACTCCCACAAACTGAGAGGTATTTTTTGCAGGTTCTCGAGAGTGCGTTTTAAAATGCATACGGAAGTGTTATTCCAGTTGTTCACAGTTTAGCCGTAAGGAACTTGTATGAGTCGAAAATGATTATATTATTCTAGATATGTGATGTCGTATGATGGCGAGTGTGCTACACTCAAGTTCGCGTTCGTGTCGGTCGCGGACGAAGGAGTTTACACTTGTGAAGCTAGGAATGAGTGTGGAGAGACAAGAGCACAGGTATTTAGAAGCCATAGCTTTGGTTTTTATTGGCTTTCCAATCTACATGGCTGGCAATAGGTAAGAGTTACTGATCCATATGTGCTTTAGGTCTGTCTTGAAGTGGACCCTGGAGATTCATTATTAGCCGACGGCATTCCACCTTTATTCAGGTGAGCACTTCCGTTAGATTCATTCCTAAATGGGGCATTGTGCAATGTATTTGTTTTCCTTGGGAAATTGGGAAATTACACGTTGTTCTTTCAATTTCTGTAGTTCTTCGATACTTGCAATCAAACCATTAGCGAAGTTCATGAATGTTTTTGCGATTTTTGGATTTTGCATCATTCTATTCGAAATTTGTAGAATAAAATGAGTGTGATACAATCTCGTAATGTATTGTTTTGCAGCTTATAATTCTGATCGTTTTTGTAAGTCTGCGCGTCATTCATGCACCTTTTTGATGCACCCTAGTTTGGGAGACAGGCAGTAGGAGCGGTTTTCTGCAATCGATCCGCCGCACGCGGCTGTTGCTCACCATCTGCCTCGTTATAACGGTTCTAGTGTTCTTCATACAACTCAATCGCTATGCGATTATTATTTTTGGCATCATTCTAATGTAGTTCTTTTGTTTCTGTATTTCTCACTTGCCGCTGCATGCTGCTACATTCCTTTGCGCGCGACGTCTCTCTTGCCGCGGCGCGACAATTTCAATCTTACTGCACTACACCCTCTAGTTCATTTCCAACGTTCGAATCAAGATGTTTCTTGTGTACGCTGTTCCAATATATTTTGGTATCAGTTTCGTCATATTTTACTACCTTCAGACGTATGTCTTCCCTTTTCAGAACGGAGAAGGTTCGGACAGTAATGAAGGCAAATGATGGAGAACGTGTCGAACTAGTTGCTGAACTAGTACAAGGTGAGTTCTGAGTGTGTTCTGGCTGATTCTTCACAACTTCTGTAGGGTCGAAACTACTTCATTTACCACACCACTTCGTTTTAGGCTCTGAACCTATTCAAATCCGTTGGATTCGTAACCGAGTGGTTATTACGGATTCAGAATCTTTCCAATACGTAAGAAATGGTAGGGATGTTCGTCTGGTGATTGCCGACGCCTTCCCCGAAGACGGAGGAGAATACGCCGTAGAGGCTCGAAATCAGTTTGGAACAGCTCGCTGTATTATGAGGCTCGACATTCACAGTGAGTTCGCAGAAAATTCTCGTCAAGATCTCTTTCTCTTCGCATTTTTTCGATGAATCACTTTCTCTGTTATCTTTTGAAATTCCACTCCCAATTCCCTCAATATTATATTCATATCGGCTAGCTACGTTTACTTTATTCTTTAAACACCCCCACATATTAGTATTTTCATCATTATGCTTTTGATTGTTTGATGATTGACATAAGTGAAAGAATTTATGGGTACGACTTGACCATCTAAAGAAGCTTTGCTTTTCATTCTCTAATAGGGAGCCTAGACTAATCGTTGTTCTTCAAGGTCATGAAAGATCTCTTGTCGAAGATCCTCCACGCATCACTGATGCGACAGCGATTGTTAGAGTTGCACCTGGTGACAGCGCCGAACTCTTTGCTCGTGTCAGTGGCCATCCCGATCCAGTTGTTGCATGGGCAAAAGGAGCAGAAGCAATTACAAACTCAGTGAAATATACTGTAAGCGATAGGTCCCTTGAGAGTGGGTATTCTGGCATGCTACACTTTCACAATTTAGCTAACAAATGATGGCGATATGTTTTCGCTCCACGTGAATGACGCAGTGCGAACGGATGCTGGCAAGTATTCTCTGACTGCAGTGAATGTCGCCGGTGAAGCCACTGCGACTATTGAACTAGTTGTGACAGAGCCCACAGGGTGAGTGAATTTTTTGAAAATTTTTGTCAGGCATTTTTGGAAATTCAAATATTGCAGCTCATCTGCTATGCGGCCACGTTTCACCCACGCTCCAGTCTCGGTTCAATCCCGTCTTGGACAACGGGTGGAACTGTTGGCTCGTTTCACTGGCCAACCCCAAGCCGTCTGCCGATGGTTCAAAGGAGACATTGGATTAGAAGATGGTAAGTTTTGTATTTCCAACTGCTCTCCTTTTACCCGTGTGCAATAATTCCCGAGCATTTCACTCTTCAAGGTGTCGGCGGTTACACTATCGTCGATGGCGCAGACAGTTCAACGTTATCCATATTGTTCCTGGAAAACGAACATGTCGGAGAATACCTTTGCACAGTACGAAATCCATACGGTGAAGATCTCGCCAACGCAATGATTTTGATTGAAGGTGTGTTCGAGATTTTTTCTCAGTGAATTATGAATCTAGTTTGCGCAAAGAAAAGCTTAGCGAGAGTTTGGGCTTAAACCAGCATGCAACGCAAGCATTTTTTTAATTTGAAAGGTATTCACTGACTAAAAACAAGTTGTTGTTTTTATATTGTCAAGGATTTTAAAAAGCTTCCCTACTCGCTCCTCCCTCCATACATGAGACAGATAGAAGCTTTGTTTTACTCTCACTTTTTTTATCGCAACTCTTTCAATGTTCCTACATATTCCCGGAAAACGGTGGAACAACTAACCTATTATGTATTTCATGCTTAAGGTTCGTCTATTGCGTTGCCCCAACGTCGATCGAATCAAAAGTAGAAGAGAAAAGTGTCAAACGAGCGAGCGATAAGCTTCCCCGTTGCTCTCTCTTCTGTTCCCTTATTTTTTTAACTTCTGATATTCGACTTCCTGTTGTTGTTGTGTGAAGAACTGTTGCGCGACTTACACAACGAATGTAAGCGAGAGCAGCAGCGATGACTAGGAATTTCACTAATTACAATTTTGTGCCTCTTAACTGTTCATTTGGAATTGTATGTAAAAATGTATGTCTGTGATTAGCGTGGTGAGGGAGAGCACATGCTTATTTAGTAAACATGTCCTTCTGGCCCGGGACATGCCGCTAGATGCATTGCTTTGTTATTCAGCATCTGTGGTTTTTGGTGTTATGCTGCTGATGTAAAATAAATGTTTTTAATGTTTATTTGATGATTACAAGGTAGATTTCGGCCTGACAAGTATGTGATGCTTATATTGAGGTGATGGGCAGTGAAGGTCCTTATTATTCACTCATCTGAAGCCGACACTTGCAGATGGGTTCTACTGTCAGTAATGGGTTCTAACAAAATTGTACAATCAAAACAAGTATTCTGTGGAATATTAGTGAGAGAGCTGTCGTAAGAGTTATAGAAGGAAATCAGTCGGCAATTAGCTTTCGTATGCAAAAATCATGTAGTCCTCAGAGCAAAAAAAGTCGACGCGATCAAAACCGTTATGAAGGTCCTGCTTCGTGAGTAGTTGCAGAGATCACCCCGGCAGCAGCAGGTTTTTTCCGTTTTTGTACCCCAACAACCTTCTTCCTGAAATAGAAGTAATTATCTAAAAATAACGTGGAAATATTTGCTAATATCACGCCTTGGACTCATCTTACATAGAAAGTGTTTGTTGTGCTCATGAGGGTACATTTAAGGCTCATTTGTTTACTGCGCCCTTACGCGAGCATGGCAACAAATCGATATAGTTCACCGGCAAGCTCGTTCATATTTCAAATTCCTAGACAGTCTCGTTTTTGTCGTGATCTGCTCCCATCACTTCGTAACCTGCACAAGCTCTGATATTTTCACATACTACACAGTTTCAGTACTTGTCATCGCTATCATTTTTCAAAAGTCCTCGAAGGTTTCTGGACTTTCCCGCGCGAACTTCGACTACTTTAGTGTTCTCCGGGTCCTCCCTAACTTATTTGTCACAGCCACAATTCTACCTTTTTCTATTCTACTACAGTTCGCTTTGAACAGTTTCTTTCTGAAAGTTTTTGTAACTATGTGTTTCCTTGAAGTAATTTTTTTCAAACTATTATACATGATATCACAGTAGCAGTCATGAATCTTGCAGCTTGTCTACTGAACGATGGATTTCACCTTCACCGCTAAGGATTCAAACGCAAGATTGCTTAGTGATGTCTAGTTTGTCTTGTGACCGATGTGGTGTGATTCTCAAACATGCCCTCATTATATGGATATCTCGGGCGCTTCATCCGTCGACACCAGATCCCGCCGAAGCCGTCGCACGCGACGCCCCATCCCACGATGCTTGACGGACGTCGCAGGGCCGCAAGATTTGCTCCGGCACGGCCGTGGCAAATTGCCAGCTTTTCGCTGCGGGAACCCCCGCTGGCAAAGTGCCAGTGGTTCCCACAGCGAAAAGCTTGGAATAAGGTATACGGACCATGGGAGTGAAGTTGGGATGGTGTACACGATACCCAACGAAATCAAGCTCAAGAGAAGGAAGGTTAAGCTGGCTGCATGAAAATATTACGGGGTCGATGACAATGGTGGAACCGCCGTCTTCGTAAGGGGTGCCAGTCGCCGTTATGTGGAGGAGTGTTAATGGTTGATCATGGAAACCGATGCTACTGTCCCTGCCATGATACCTTCGTCGTGGAATAGCCTGTGGTCTCTTCGAAAGAAAAGGGCGCCAAAGGAAAAAAAAAACTTGTTATTATCGATAAACATTTTATTCTCTCACAGACTGTAGGGCTGATGGATGAATCTCACTCAACAGTAATCGTAATTTCCGATCCCATCTCCATCACTAATGACCCAGACCTCCGTTTGTACAATTATAATATGGCGAAGGTGGAAACAAACGCAAACATTTCACTTCGTATTTCAGATAACAAATAACAATTTAAAGACGGCGCCCTCTGCGTCCTCCCTTTCGTCGAGTTTGATCGGAAGGGGTAGGAGTGCAACCTTCAAAACAACGATCTTCATTCCACTACGTGCAAGAGCTCGCACANGTAATTTCCGATCCCATCTCCATCACTAATGACCCAGACCTCCGTTTGTACAATTATAATATGGCGAAGGTGGAAACAAACGCAAACATTTCACTTCGTATTTCAGATAACAAATAACAATTTAAAGACGGCGCCCTCTGCGTCCTCCCTTTCGTCGAGTTTGATCGGAAGGGGTAGGAGTGACATCTTCAAAACAACGATCTTCATTCCACTACGTGCAAGAGCTCGCACAGCTGCTTGAGCAGGTCTGGGAGTCTCGGTCTTTGTACCACCAGTGGCGTGAAGTTTGATGTGAAGGGCATTGATTCCCAACTGTTTGCACCTCTCAGCAACGTCTTGAGCTGCAAGCATAGCCGCATACGGGGACGATTCATCTCAATCCACTTTTACCTTCATACCACCAGTCACTCGAACAATAGTTCCACGTCCAGATATATCAGTCACATGGACGAAGGTGTCGTTGAAAGACGCATAGGAGCAGCACCAAACACAAACTCGCCTTCCTCAGCCTGAGGTCCAAGAGTGACCACAGGCTGTCCCGCTTTAGCCTTTCCTCTACGAGCGTTAACCATTATCCAAGACTCAAACTTGCGTAATTAACCTAAACTTTCGGGATGGTCAATTTTATTTAAAACTGTAGAACTTCTGGGTGCTTTAAGCATTTTTATGTGCATGACTTTCTGAAACATTATATACAGGTCTACTTTCTGCAACTCCAGTTTTCATGCAAGAGTGAACGTGCTTTCAAGAGTAGAAAAAAGGGTCGCCCGAACTGTGCTAGAGTTTTCTAAAAATGGGAATGTGTATGAAATCTAATGTGAGTTCCAAAAAAGTCCCTCTTCTTGCTGAACTCTCCCTTACCGTACTTCTCCCCCATTGTCCGTATACCGTATCCCAAGCTTTTCGCTGTGGGAACCAATGGCACTTTGCCAGCGGGGGTTCCCGCAACGAAAAAGCTTGGCAATTTGCCACGGCCGTACCGGAGCAAATCTTGCGGCCACGTCGCAGTTGTCAGTGGGGCATACGATCTGCACTTGGCCCGCGGCAATCAGTTCGAAGAGAAGATAACACAAAGTAGGGGAGACGGGTGTTAGGAACGATTTTGGGTAATCAATCCGCCGCACGCGGCTGTCGCGGACCACTCATTCGTCGTTATTACAGCTCTAGCGTTCTTCATACAGCTCAGTCGATATGCGATCATTATTTTATGCATAATTCTACTGTTAGTACTTTTGTTCTTGTATTTCTTACCTGCTGCTGAATCCTGCTACATTCCTTCGCGCGCGACGTCCCTCTCACCGCGACGCGACCATTTCGTTCCTAACGCACCACACCCCACAAAGTAGTGCAGATCATTCGTTCCATTGACCTTTGGAACAGTAATGTCATCTCGAGACCGCAATGGGCTGTGCTGCATTCAAAGTGGGCGGGGTGACCTCGCTTCGGAACAGATGTTCTCCGGGAGAGAGTTCGCGGCATTCGTACCCGGCGAGCTACAACGATTTCGCGGTGATTACCGTACCCTTTACTCGAAAATTCAAGTAATCCCTTTCATAACGCACGACTAGGAGCGATCGGATGCAGGGTGAGACACACTGTTCGGGTATGAGATACCAAACCTTCTAGAAAGTTACTTACCAGATCTGTTTATGCTGTCTACCCTGAGGTGAAGGTGATCGGAGTTGACTTGTGAGTTTTCAGCGAAAGTTTCCGAGGTTTAGGGGAAAACTCCAGTCGCTGCGGGGAAGCGCAAGACCTTTTCAATGGCTGTGCGGGACTCCAGCGGCACTGCTAATTATTCCCTCTCTATCACGAAACGGTTTTAAAGGCAGTGGAGTCATATCAAAACTTGTTGACGCTGAGCTTCTGAAGAATGCTAATTACACTAAGAGTGAGTCTTCGCGATTTTACTCAAGAAGTCGTTGGTGATTTTCATCAACCCGTTTTACAACCCCTGAATTGTTTCAAAATTAAGTTGCGAAAATTTGTTCCCTCCTCTACCCGCCCTGGATTCGGCTCTCTCCACCGCGAAATCTTGGTCTACTTCCTTGCACATGCTTTCAACTCTCCCTCCGGCTTCTTCTTGTTCTCACAGTCATGCTGGTGTGGAGCAGTCAACTTTCAAAGCACCACTTTCCCTTCGTGGGCTTGTGTGCACTTTGTATAAAGAGCTCCTCCGTGAAAGTGTAGTTGGAGGGGGCCACTATGCTAGCTAGGGCCAGAGGAGGTTAAGGCGGCAATCTTGCAGGTCTGTAATGGTGTTGAGAAACGAGCCTGGGTGATGGTTTTCAGCCTGAAACTAAGCAGGAGAAGAGCACCGGGCTGAATAAAAAAGTGGCTGCAGGCAAAAAATTGAATGGATGAGGAATCGGTCAATAGGGTGCTGTCTCAGTGGGGCGCGAGAACGAGTGGCCCTTTCCAACTACATTTTCACCGGCTATGCTACAAAGTGTCCAACATGCTTTGGATATTTTTAATCTCTACCAGTTTACCGTCAGTTGCCTATTTGGGTTGGATCTGTCGTCTTGGAATGAAACTTTTTTTATCACTTGAATTTATCCCGCAACTTTATTCATTGTTATGTTTAGGACAGAAAACATCTTCTTCAAGAAGATACCAGTGATTTTTCCGTTAGCTTCCATCTTCCGCTTAGTTCCAGATGGCGGGCTTTGTTTCCGAATCCCACATTTCGCATCACTCAATGGTTTCGTTACAACTGAAGTAATCATTCTCCGGGACTTCAAATGTCCATTCCCCGGTTCCGAAGCAGAGGTCAGGTCGAGAAGACTTCGTGATTATGGGATCCACACATTTTGACCTAATATCTTGGCCACATCGAATTGAATTCTTCTCCATAGTAATGCCATATGCAAATCCAGTAGAAAAGTAACTGTTGGATATTCAGTGGGTTTATTTGGTGAAGATACAATTCCTGCCCAAACGTCATGATCTCATGATCAATCGCTGCTAAAGGTCTATATTTGAAGTGGAATCAGATGCCCGTCAAAGTCAACAATGGCGTCCATGCTTCCGACAGATCTCGCTGCTGTTTGCCTTGTAGCTTCTGCGCTCAATTTATATCCATCTACTAGAGATCAGAGGGCAAAGATCTAGAGGGTCCAGTGACCATAGGATACTGGAGTTTTGAATTTCTTTCAGGTTGCCACCCTGGCCTTTGCGTATATTTTTGGAAAATATACTTTTTTTCAGGTAAAATGTAATTGAGGGGTGCCAGGCTCTTTTGTGCTCTGCGTCTCTTCAGTTCTTACCCCATCTAATCATCTCACCCATCCTGGAGCTCCTCCCCTTCTAAAGTTAGGGAAGGAGCTCCAGGACGGGTGAACTTATTGGAGGTTCAATTCTTACCCATCCCAGCTTTTTGCACGAGATAATCATCTTTCCCACCCCGGAACTCTCCCTCCCCTTTCTTTTAGGAGGGGAAGAAGCTATCACTGCACTCTATTGCAATCTCTACGCTTTCTGCCGACTGGTGTCAGACACGCAGAGCACGAAAAGGCGCTGACACCCCCAACTACATTTTCACCTTTTTTGAAGCAAAAGGAATTATGACATATCATGAAATGACTCACTTCGACTAACTATAGGAATCACTTTGAAAAACAAATGCCTCGAAATAAATGTTGAAAATACTAAAAGAAATTTGCAGTGGGTTAGTAACCAAAAGGAAATTTACTGTGTTGTCCACCATTGACCTGTTGATATGAATCTTTCTTTTGTAGAAATATATGTTCTATTTTATATTACACGCAGGACTCTTGAGAATGTTGCACCTTCTCGGTCTCTCCGATAGATGCCTTTCATCTTTTCAAGTTTCTTCTCTTTTCTGTAAACATTCCTGTTGTGTGTTGTGGCTCAGACCATTCTATGAACATAGCCTTCACCTTCATTGTTGATTACTGTTGGCACTTTATGAAAAGTAACAGGACAGATAGCTCTTGTGATTTTTTTTTGATCAAAAAATTTGAGCTCAGTATTGCTGAATACTCATAGAGTGGTGAGTGAGCCCTTAAACTACACTAAAAATCTGTAAGTAAAAACGGTTCAACTTTTAATCGTTTATTTCCGTATAGAGAAAATGGCTCTCAAGCCATAGGAGCGGGTTCAAGTCCACCAGGTGACTCTAGTCCTCCGGCTTGGGTATGTAAATGCATGCCACTACACCACCTCCGCCCCGGCGAGCGTCCGTTGCGCGTGTCCGTCGAAAGTAGGTCACTCCGCCCACTTCGCGCGCGGCGCACTCCACTGAGGTCTCGGGAAGACATTACAGTACCACCAAGTGTGAGTGGAGCGAACGATTTGCATTTGTCTATGTTACCTTCTCTTTGGCTGACTACCGTGGAGAACGCGCAAATCGTACGCCCCGCTTACAGCTGCGACGTCTGTCAAGTATCGCGGGCTGATCCGCCGCATGCGACGGCTGCGGCGTGACCTAGTTTCGACGGACTCGCGCAACGAAGCGCACCCCCTCCGCCCCTGTGTGGGTATGGAGATGAAGGATCGAGAGACTGGATGTCAATCTATGGTACTCAATAATTAATTTCCCAGATTGAATTTTTTGAAGGGCTCTTTTTGAAGGGCTTCTGTTGTGGAGGCAATTGGACTTCATTAAAGATCGGACTGCTCTTTTTGAGAAAATTTCTGACCCCACTAATTCTTATTGCAGTTACATCGTAACCAAATAAAGCATAGGGGGATACCACCTCATATCGATACAATAAAGTAATACTATTTTTTATATCTTATGGTCACAAAACAAGAACTAATGGTGTTCTCTCGTGATCATCCATAGGATTGCCATAACACATCCAGAAGAAGCTTATAGTGAGGGAAATCGCTGCATAGGTGACTTTCTTAAAGGCACAGTTCATAATTTTGGGTAATCCAGATTATGACGAAAAGTGGAGGATAAGATGGAAAATAGTGCGGTGAAGGCGAAGAGACTGCGTGAATCGGTGTTTCCACAAGGTGAAAAAATGCTTCGAAAAATCGTTGAAAAGGGGGTTGTACGGGAGTGAGACCAGAAAAATTAAGAAGAATGGGCGTTTGAACGAGCTATACAATGTGTGTCAGTGCGTAGGTGTGGGTCTTGGTGCAAATACTGACTACGGTAGGCAAATTCATTCTCTCATAAGCAAAGTTAACAAGAAACCCTTAGTAACAGCAAAAAAGCCCACCTTTTTCAGCGTTTTTGGGCGGAAAATTAATTTAGGGAGCGCAACAGCAAAAAGAACAACAGAGAACAAAAGAATGGGAGCAAATTATCGCCTCACTACTCGCCGATCAGCTGTTTGTGTGTGGGTCCTAGAGCGAGAGTTTGCAATCTGTATCGT